GATCTGCGTCTGTCCCATATGCTGTTAGGAATCCAGAAATAACCCAACACCCATGATGCTGATGCCCAGGAACAGGAGAAAGTAGATGATCTACTCACCAGGGCCTCAGGGAGGTCTCTAGACTCCACCTTGGATGGCTTTTGCTGCTGGACACACATGTTGTGGTTCATAGAGCCAACAATAGGGACAGGGCCAATTAGTGGCTTGAGCTAGGAAGTGGAAGGTGAATGGCTATCATCTGTCACCGTCATTTCTCCTGTGGGTCCACTGGTAGCTATTAACCTGGCGTCTTTGGTTAATCAACATTAAACCAGAGCCCTTTGTCATACGTTCACTTTAAGAACTTGCGTTGGTGGAAGAAGAAGGGAAGATGTCATTCCACTTCTTAACACTCCCTAGCACAGTGCCTGGCACACAGTAGATGCCCGATAAAGTGGCACGACCTCACCTTCCTAAAAATGTCTTCTTTTGGTTTTTTTTTTTTTTTTTTTTTTAGACGGGGTTTTGCTCTTGTTACCCAGACTGGAGTGCAATGGCGCGATCTCGGCCCACCGCAACCTCCGCCTCCTGGGTTCAGGCAATTCTCCTGCCTCAGCCTCCTGAGTAGCTGGGACTACAGGCACGCGCCACCACGCCCAGCTAATTTTTTGTATTTTTAGTAGAGACGGGGTTTCACCATGTTGACCAGGATGGTCTCGATCTCTCGACCTCGTGATCCACCCGCCTCGGCCTCCCAAAGTGCTGGGATTACAGGCTTGAGCCACCGCGCCCGGCCTAAAAATGTCTTCTAAACAAACATAGTTCCAAAGTAGGAGGAATTGACATGTTTTCAGCAGCTGTTACATGCCCAGGATGATCTGGGTACTTGGACGTCCATTAACTCATTCCATTGTCTTCCCAGTGGCCTGACAGGTGGATATTGTTAACCATAAGGAACTGAAGCTCAGGGAGGTTAAGGAACTTCCCCAAGGTCACACAGGTCTTATAGAGTAGAGCCAAGATTTAAACCCGGGTTACCTGGCTCCAGAGCCTACACTTATTTTTGTTCTCACTTCAAGTGCTCTTCTGAGTTTTTGAAATCTATGAGGACTGGCCTCGCCTGCCTCTAACAACAACACTTATTTTTGGTGAACACCTTGTGATGCACTCCCACCCCGTCCCCTCATAAGATGGCTGGCTGATTACAGCCACCCTCTCAGGGGTCAGTGATTGCCACATTCTTGGTGAGAGGAACATCGTGGGAACAGTTGCAGATGGATCTGGGGCTGATGAGCAGCCTGGTGCCTGGCTCCCATCACACTGCTGTGACAATGCCCCACCCACCCACAGTGGGCAGTCCTCTGGCTTATAGATGAGGAAGCTGGCGCTCACCCAAGAAATCGATAGCAGAGCTGAGATTAAAACAGGGATCCCTCAGTTCCCAGCCAGTCCTCTATCACTTCACCAGAGACTTTTAAAGGAACACTCAGAGGTCGAGGTGTGTCTGTCTTTTAACTGAGCAGCTCCACCGTTATGTTTCTTATATAATAAACGGTGGTGGGGAGAAAGCAAAGTGTGGAAACCACAGCAGCCTTGGGATATGCTGCCTGGATTCTAACAAATGGCTCTAGAGTCTCTCCTGACATGCTCCCTTGTAAAGAAGCCTTTTGTTTCCTGCGGAAATCCTTGGTTAATTATTTTTAAATAAATAATTGCGTAGCCTTTGGTAGGGGAGAAGCCTCCCTGTGACCCATATTTGATCATCAGAGGGCTGGCCCTTTTCCGTCAGCCAAATTAAATAGGGTAAATCCAGAGACTGTTTGACTTGAGACTGAATCGATGATGGGGACAGGCTGGGAGGTGGAAACACACCTGACTCCCAGCGTTATCACCTCTCTCTCAGGAGCAGAGCCTCTCGGGGAGGTAAATAGCTGGTTAGGGAGTCAGAGAAAGCAGGAGAAAAACAGGGTGAAGTCCAGTTCTTCCAAACGAAAGGAGCAAGAGGGCAGTGGCCAGACCTCCCTCCCAAGTTGCTTCCAGAGCAAAGCATCAGTGGTTCTGCCAGGGTAGGATTCTTTGGAAAATGGTCTCTATGGAAAAATAATTCCATTCAGTGTTTAGAATCTGTCCTAGGCTATCAAGAATTCTAGAATCTTAGGGCAAATATCTTGGGATCCATTCCTACACCAGCTTCCGCCCCACAGTATCCCCCCCATACTTGCCATTTATATGGCATTTTGCAAGAAACTGTATAGATGTTACCTCTAAACCAAAAAGAGCCCTGTTGAAGATGCATTCTCTCTATTTTTCTTTTTTTTTTTTTGAGACGGAGTTTCGCTCTTGTTGCCCAGGCTGGAGTGCAATGGCGCGATCTCGGCTCACCGCAACCTCCACCTCCTGGGTTCAGGCAATTCTCCTGCCTCAGCCTCCTGAGTAGCTGGGATTACAGGCACGCGCCACCATGCCCAGCTAGTTTTTTGTATTTTTAGTAGAGACGGGGTTTCACCATGTTGACCAGGATGGTCTCGATCTCTTGACCACTTCGGCCTCCCAAAGTGCTGGGATTACAGGCGTGAGCCACCGCGCCCGGCCCTCACAGATGTATTAAGAGCAGCTTTAGGATTTGAACCTGAGTTGGTTTAGCTGCAGAGTCCATAGTCTTCCCATTGCCCCCTCCTTGATAGAAAATTCTTCCTTTTATTTATTTGAAATCTGCCTCCCTCTTTCCCACTGGATCTAGCTCTGCCTTCAGAGCTCATAAGGTTCAGATCTCTTTCTTCTTCTATGTAACAACACTTTGAACTGTTGGAAGCATCCTGCTGGGAACTGGGTGGCAAACGTGAGTGAAGGAAGAAGACCTCACTTAATCCAATGTGATGGCATCGAGATGGCAGACAGGAGACCTGGGGGCTGCACATAGGTGCACAGGAGGACAGGGGACTGGGCAGAGGCTGTTGACTTGGGGAGCTGGCCGCTGTCCCTCCTTTTAACTTCACGGTTCCAGTTCTTTCTAAAAAATGTAGTGCCTTAAACCAATAACCACCAATTCCAGTGCCATCCCACTGTCACCACTCTCCCGCTACCAGCTCCTTGATTCAAAGAATGGGGAAAATGGCCAGTAGAAAATCTTATAGAGCAAGCATCAAGTCACGGCATACACAGACAAGTTGCTCTTGAAGGTCAGAATCCAGCTTTGGCACTTGTCTGTTGTTTTCCCTAACCCTCTTTTTTTTTTTTTTTTTTTTTTTTTTTTTTGAGACGGAGTTTCGCTCTTGTTACCCAGGCTGGAGTGCAATGGCGCGATCTCGGCTCACCGCAACCTCCGCCTCCTGGGTTCAGGCAATTCTCCTGCCTCAGCCTCCCGAGTAGCTCGGATTACAGGCATGTGCCACCATGCCCAGCTACTTTTTTGTATTTTTAGTAGAGACGGGGTTTCACCATATTGACCAGGATGGTCTCGATCTCTTGACCTCGTGATCCACCCGCCTCAGCCTCCCCAAGTGCTGGGATTACAGGCTTGAGCCACCGCGCCCGGCTTCCCTAACCCTCTTAAGCTCTAGGTCATGTCAGCCTTGAGTACTATCCTTAGGAAGATCCAAGGAAAACTGGCTTAGGGCTCATCTGGTCTCATCTTGGTAAGCTTCATCTTAATGAATTGGAGGCAGATTATGACAGTGATTATGGCAGTGTGCCTGGCCCCTGGGGGAATGTATAGCCTCCTCTGGAAGGGGGAGTGGGGGGCTCTAGCTCGGGCAGGGGGTGGGTGGCTGAAAGAAACAGCAACAGAATCAGTATACAGGGATGGTTCATCTTGGGCAACTGGGCAAAAGAAGACACGCAGCTAAAGAGTGGGTCTGCTTCTCCAGATTCTTCCATGCCTAGAGCATTTGGTCTCTGCAGGGCAGGGTCCTCCAAACCTTGTTGTCAAATCCAAAGCAAAAAAACAAGCACATAGTCTTTCTAAGCACTCAGCTTAGGGCAAGAGGCCCCGTGTACCCCCGACCTTGTCCTTGGCTATTGCATGGGCACATCAAGCAGGATTTGCACCTGCAAACTGGATCCAGGTTCTGGGCCCTCTTTTTGGCTTCCTTCAGTTGCCTGATCTCTGTCCAGAACTTTTCTTTCCTGAGAGCAGCCCTCCTTGTTGGTGCCTGAGCAAGAGGGACGGGGAGAGCAGTGAGGCTGTAAACATGTTTGGTTCTAACCTTCCCTCGCAGAGCCAACTCCAGTGGTTTACTAAACATCCGCATCTGTCTGTGTGTGCTGCCTGACCCACCTCCTGGCAGACGCACCTTTCCCTGTGCCCTGGAAGGCAGCCCAATGGGACCCCACCAAAGGAATGTGAGTTCCAGAGCCTGGCTCCTGGATGCAGCCTCATCCCTGTCCTGCTCTGCCTCCGTCCATGCCCCTGACCTCTTGGTCCTGGCCACAAAGGCGGTACACAGAGACTGATACCTAAGCTATGGCTCTTTCAAGGATCACTGGACAAGGGTCTCTCCTTTGTCACATGGGTCTACTTATGCTTTGCAGCACCGTGAGAGATGCCAGGGACACATTTCTAGAAGGCGTTTTGAGGAATAAAAGAAATACTCCAGCCAGTAGGAAGAGAAGACTAGTCTCAACCACCAAATCCTGAAAGACTGTGTGGAAGCAATGACCAACAGAATCCATTCAGTCATTCATTCATTCCACAGAAGTTTACTGAGTGTCTGTGCAGCGCCAAGGCACTAGGGATACATCAATGAACAAAACCAAAGAGAGAAAAATGTCCTGCCTTCATGGAGCTTACATTCTAGAATTAGATACAGAACATGGCCATGCTTACCCTGGAGGAAAGCAGCTGATATTTCCTGTGGTTGGACAGGGGAGGAGAAGGCAACTTTATTTTCTTATCACCCACCCTTGAAAACAAGGGGAGCCGAGTCATCGTTCCAGGACCCTGGCGGCACTCATGTTCCCTATTGGGTTTGTGTTGTTTTGCGGTCACTCATGTTCCCTATTGGGTTTGTGTTGTTTTGCAGGAGTGCGCTACAGCCAGCAGGGAAACAGTGAGGTCACTTCCTCCTCGACAATCAGTCACCATGGCAACAGCGCCATGGTGACCAGCCAGTCGGTTTTACAGCAGGCCTCCCCAGCCAGCCTGGACCCGGGCCACAATCTCCTCTCACCTGATGGTAAAATGGTGAGTACACCTGGGCCATTGTAGCTCTGGAGCTGATAAGATAAGAGGCAAAACAAACACAACTTCTCACAAGGCCTGCCTCAAACAATGAACCATTGTCGCCTCACAGGGGAAAATGGGGGCTGTCCAGAGTTGGAAGGGAGAGGTAGTGCTGGTGACCCAGGCTCTGGCGGGTAGAAGAGGTGTTCGGTTTGAACCCAGCCCATAAATCTGACAGAGTTCTGCTCTCATGTTATTGATTGAATGCCTCATAAAGGAGCAAGCCCGGTGGGACACTGTTTGTTTTGGGGCTGCCAATGACATTTGTGTTGATAAAACATTCATGCATCCCTCCCCCAAGGCCTCCAAAGCCAATTTTTTAACCTAGAGAGCACCTCACTTTGACACAGTCCCCATCTTCCTCCTTACCATCGCCTCGGTACAAACAAGGAGAGCCATTAGCAAGTCAGGATGTAGTGGATAGGAGGCGGTGGGGAGCAGCTTCCCGAACTGGAACAGTGAAAGACGTGGAAGGCCGTGACAGCGAAGATCACAGCGCAAATGGTAAATGGGGCGGGGCAATGCTTAGGGCGGGAGAAGCGCCGACTTTGAAGTTCCAATTGCCCGGGTTCGAATCCCAGCTCCAGCACTTAATAGCTGTGCAGCCTCGAACAGGTTACTTGACTGCTTATGATCGCTTTTCCTCATCTATAAAGTGGAGGTGGTAACAACAGACTTGTTGGGGGCATGAGTAGGATAAGATAGGAGAAATACTCTGCAGCGTTTGGCAAAGGAAATAAGAAATCACAGCATTGTTGTTGTCGTGTTAATGTCGATATCATTCTCATTAAATGAAAGTTTCTATATCCATAACCACGGCCTCACACCCAGAGGCAAGTTGGGCACACTTGGTGAAGAACGGACAACTTGAATATGAATTTTCTACTTCAAACTAGATTCCAGGCCCAGTGCAGTGGCTCACACCTGTAATTCCAGCACTTGGCTGTGGCAGGGGGATCACTTGAGGCCAGAAAGTTTGAAACCAGCCTGGACAACATTGCAAAACACCATCTCTATTTAAAAAAAAAAAAATACAAAAATTAACCAGGAGTAGTGGTTTGCACCTGTAATCCCAGCTACTTGGGAGGCTGAGGCAGGAAGCACACTTGAGCCTGGGAGGCGGAGGTTGCAGTGAGCCGAGTTCATGCCACTGTACTCCAGCCTAGGCAACAGAGTAAGACCCTGTCTCAAAAGATTATAATTAATAATAATAAATAGCGCCGGGCGCGGTGGCTCAAGCCTGTAATCCCAGCACTTTGGGAGGCCGAGGCGGGTGGATCACGAGGTCGAGAGATCGAGACCATCCTGGTCAACATGGTGAAACCCCGTCTCTACTAAAAATACAAAAAATTAGCTGGGCATGGTGGCACGTGCCTGTAATCCCAGCTACTCAGGAGGCTGAGGCAGGAGAATTGCCTGAGCCCAGGAGGCGGAGGTTGCGGTGAGCCGAGATCGTGCCATTGCACTCCAGCCTGGGTAACAAGAGCGAAACTCCGTCTCAAAAAAAAAAAAAATAATAATAATAATAATAATAAAAAATAAATAAAACAAACTAGGTTCTAATTCGGATTAGGCTCTGATCCTCTAGCGACATGAGGGCAGGAGACAGTGGCTTGTGGGAAAACAGGGGCATTACGACGCTGGCAAGGGTAGAGAATGGAAAGCCCTGTTCTTTGGGTCATGATCTGTTTTTCAGGGGAGGGAGGAGCCACAGCTTCCTGACTTCCACACCGAAGGTGGAGCCGCACACATTCCCAGAGTGGGGGCCGGGATGGGTGAGGGCCCAGCAGGGTGCAGAGGCCATTGTAGATCTTGACGTGTGTGCTGTATAGGCAACACAGAAATGGTGAGTCACAGGTGATCGGGTCCCTGGCTCCCTGGAGGAAAAACAAAGTGTGGTTTCTGAGGGGAGCAGTGGCCCGGCCAATTCTGGTTTCGGAGGACCTGAGCTGCTCTCCCTGGTCACACGCAGCCTCTGCAAACAAAAATGAAGGGGCGCTCCTGGGGGAGGCATCTTGCAGCCCCCCTTCTCCTACGCCCACCTATCCCTTAAGAAAGATTCTTCTCCATATAAAGGACCATTTGTGGCGGTTACCTGTGAGAGGCACAAATGAGTCTTTATGACTTCTCAAGAGTGTCCCGAACAAGTTAGGGTTGAGGTGACCCGGACTTCCGTGGAGAAGGAGGCCTTGTGGAAGAGATCTTGACTTCTCAGTGTGGAAAAACCTTCCAAGTCTCAGCTCTCATGGCTTGAAGGTCCTTGGGGGTTTTCTGAGCCCTGCCACTCCTCCTCCTAAAAGGCAAGCTGCCTCACCCAGGCCAGGGCTGCTCTAAACGCAGCCTGCGGACACACTTTTTGCTTCCTGTTCTGCTCGGCAGTGCTTTCAGTGAGCGGTATGCTACCGGATTGATGATTGACCAAGACTGCACACCTCAACGCTAGCGAGTAACTGGAAGCTTGTTTGCAGGGACTTGCTTTTCTCTTGTCTCTAGCACCCTGGTGCATACGTTATGTCACTATCATCGGATGCCCAACTTCAAGAGTCTGTTTTCTTGTTAATATAATAACATGTCCGTCGTGGATCTTGGTCCACCAGGGCAAGAGTGGAGCACGGCTAAAAAGCATGCAGGCAAGGGAATCAGTGTGTGCAAGTCTTGGCTCTGTCATTCGCCAGCAGTAGGGCGGACAAATTGCTTAACCTGTTTCTTCAGCTGTAAAATGGGGGATAATGAAGCCTGTGTCATAGGCTTGGTGTGAAGATTGCTTGTGGCACTGTTGTTCTTTGGGTCAGCCCTGTTCTAGGAATGACAATCTCTGCGTGCTGACTTTCATTAGGACATGCCTTGAAATCTTTCCCCAAGGACTGGTTTTGGAAATAAGGCCAATCCATTTGAACTCTCTGTTGCACTGTCTGCCCCTACCCACCCCTGTGCCCAAATGTCATGCATTGACAAAACACTGGCCAAGTTTAGGGTTGCAGTCTGTGCATGTTGAACCTTTAAAAAAAAAAAAGAAAGAAAAGAGAAAAGCACATACTGGATGCTTTCACAGCGTCAAGCAATATGCCTAATTGTGAAAAGCTCAGGCCTTGGTGGCAGATAGCTGGCTTTCAACCCCAATTCTACCACGTGAGCACATTTCTTAACTTCTCTAAACTTCAGTATCCTTAATCTATGAAATAGGGATAATAATACCGACCTTGTAGATTACAAGTAGATAAAGCACCCAGCATAGTGAAGAGACCATGACAGCATGAATATAATTCAGGCTTTCCAAATTACCACGTAAGGATCACCACTGATAGCCTTCGCGGTGTCCTAGCTTCCTTCAGTCCAGGAGCCAAATAGAGGTGGTAGCAGGCACGGTGGCTCACGCCTGTAATTCCTGTAATACTTTGGGAGGTGAGGTAGGAGGATTGCTTGAGCCCAGGAGTTCACAACCAGCTTGAGCAACACAGCAAGACCCTGTCTCTACAAAAAATAAAAAAAATTATCCAGGCATGGTGGTGCATGCCTGTTGTCCCAGCTACTCCAGAGTTTGAGGTGGGAGGATTGCTTGATTCCAGGAGTTTGAGGCTGCAGTGAGCTGTGATCATGCCACAGCACTCCAGCACTGGTGACAGAGCAAGAGCAGTCTCAAAAAAAAAATTTTTTTTAATGATGGTTGCGTTTTAGAATGGAAAGTAACTTGATCAAGGTTTCCCTTAGTAAGTGGATAAGATTTAAGCTCCAGCAAAACTTGATTTGAATTCTGGCTTTTTCACTTACAAGTCAAGTGACATAGAAATAGTCTCAACTCTTCTGAAGATCAGTTTCTTAATCTGTAATATAGGGACTGATAGTAATAATGCCTGCCCTATTTGTGTTACTATCAGTTAAGGACATCAGTGAAAGCACTTCACAAATTCTAAAGCCACACACATTTAAATTCTTTTTATCATTGGCTTCCACGTTTCTCTTACACCATTAACAAAACGCTGAAATGACAGAGAAATTACTGTCACTTGGTTGACTTTCTCCAAAGGAACTACATTACCCAGGAGATTCAGTCTGAGGGCGGGTTACGATTTTTTTTTTTTTTTTTTTTTAATGACTCTGACGTTATGAAAAACAAGTCCAGCAAACAGGCTGGTTCTCTCCTGTTTGATGTGGTAAGAATTCCTTCTTGGTCATGTGACCCCTAACTCATTTCTTGATGCTTATTTTAAAAATACAAACAAACCTGTTTGGTTTTTGCTTGCTTTCTTTTTCAAATTAACCTTGGACGCTATGGGGTTGACCAGAAGGGCAGGGTGGGAGATAGCATCTTACCTGGGTGCTGGTGTGAGACCTATAGTCTGAAGAGCTCCAGAAGGTGGAAGATGGAAGAAGGAAAGTTGAGTTACTCAGATATCTGGTGTATCCTAACCCTAAAGCACCTCTCAGGGTTCCTGAGGCTCTCAAGCACGCCACGCCTGGGTTAGTTCAGCATGAGATGGCCCAGTCCTTTCTTAATAATAACTTTAAAAATTACTTTGAGGCTGGGCACAGTGGCTCACACCTGTAATCCCAGCACTTTGGGAGGCCGAGGTGGGCACATCACCTGAAGTCAGGAGTTCAAGACCAGCCTGGCCAACACAGTAAAATCTCATCTCTACTAAAAATATAAAAATGTGCCAGGCATGGTAACGAGCCCCTGTAGTTCCAGCTGCTCAGGAGGCTGAGGCAGGAGAATCGCTTGAACTTGGGAGGTGGAGGTTGCAGTGAGCCGAGACCACACCACTGCACTCCAGCCTGGGTGACAGAGCTTGATTCCACCTCAAAAAAGGAAAAAAATATATTTTGAAACTGTAAGTAGTAAACTTATTTATCATGAAAAAGTACACATGTGTATAAAACTGATAGCACCCTTAAATTAGAATTATAGTTAATGGGAAAACATTGGAAACAGGACTAATAAAATCAGAAGCAAAACAAGCACATCCATGACAGCTATTATTGTTTAATACTATAAGCTCTAAGCAATGCAATAGGACATGTAGATATATCAGTACTAGCAGGGAAAAGACCCTGTTAGCATTAGATGCTTGTATTACAATTGCCTACTTGGAGAAAAAAATCAATGAGGAAAAGACACTAATAGGATTTAGTGAAGTGGGTCATGTACCAAGTAAATACACAAAGCTCAGTAGCTTTCTCATACTAATCTGTCATTAAAATACAATGGTGATGACAATATAGGATTCTTAACCAAAAAAGAAATAAAAAATTTCGTTATGTGTAATGGAGATATGGAAAAAGTAGAGACACCCTAAAATGGCTAATCTCCCCCAACCCTTAGTAATTTCTGAAGCTGGCTAGTAACTCAGACAGTCAACAATAGATGTGCCATGAGGGCAGGGGTCGTTGTCGGTTTTCCTTACTGCTGTATCCTCAGCACCTAGAATAGTGTCTGTCCCACAGTAGACACTTAATAATTGTGTGTGTGTTTTCTTTTTTCGTAGAAATGGGATTTCACCATGTTGCCCAGGGTGGTCTTGAGCTCCTGAGCTAAAGCAGTGCTCCTGCCTTGGCTTCCCAAGGTGCTGGGATTATGGGCATGAACCACTGCTCCCAGCCAATAATTGTTATGGAGTGAAGGAAGGAAGGAATTTGAGAACTAGCTGGGCCAAGGAATCACTAAGTCACATCATGTTGGAAACTGCTCTCAGTAGCCCACGTCCATCCATGTTTCTCTTGCTTTTTTTTTTCTCTCCCTCAGATCTCAGTCTCGGGAGGAGGTTTGCCCCCGGTCAGCACCTTGACGAATATCCACAGCCTCTCCCACCATAATCCCCAGCAATCTCAAAACCTCATCATGACACCCCTCTCTGGAGTCATGGCAATTGCACAAAGTAAGTTTTGTTCTTGGTCAGAAAACCTGGGGGCAGGGCGAAGAAGAATGGGAAGCAAATTAATATGGTAAAAAATAACTATAGGTCTTCAAACTCACCCACAGCTTGTAGATTTGGTTTAACTTCTTTAGTTTCTCATCTGTCTCCTTAAATCTGATATTTGGATTGGTTAGCCTAAGAGAAGAGAGAATTATGGAGTGGATTTGGATCCTGGTCACAGTTTAGCAGCTGTGCGTCCTGGGTCAAATCACTGAACCTTTAGGAGATTCGCTGTCCTCGTCTATAAAATAGGTTGTTGAAGTGATCAAATGACAGTGAACGTGAACATGCTTGTAAATCTCTGAAGCATGAATATATATAATAGTGTATACTTTGTCTTGAGTTCATTCCTATCGCTAAGTAGGTGGTAGGTTTTTCAGGAGATTCTTTATGTTTGGTGACGATGAAGTAAGAATGACGGGCGTCCTTCTAAACAGGGACTTTTGTGTGGTATCTGAAACCTCCTTGGCCAGCAGAGAAAATACGCCAAGCGGGGACCCGGAAACTGTCATTGTATCCGAGAGCCTTGAAAACTTTAAGGAGAAATAGGTTGCTTTGGCACATGCCTGAAGACAGGGAGATCGATCGGGTCCCTCCAACTCCAGGAGGCTCATATTCAACAGCAAGCCCGTGGCGTCCCATAGATGGGCCATCTCGAGGCATGGGAAGGCTGAAGTGAACTGTGGGTGGGGATGTCTCTTTGAGAGTTTTCACGTTGATGAGTGGTCAGCATATTTTCAGCTTCACTGTGACAGCTCAGGCCAAGTCATTGTTTCTGAAAACCATCCTTGTGACCCTTGGACGTATTGCTGGGATGTCTTGGGAGAGATCTAAGGGTAGCACGTTGGTCAGCTTTCTTTCAACCTTGTGTCACCCCATTGTCCTCTTGACCTTGCTCATGGTTGTCTAGGGCCCATGTTGGCCACCTCTTTGTTTTGTTTCTGCCCCATCTTTCTTCTTCTCTCCCTAAATCAGCTCTAGCTAGCGTCAGAACTTGGATTCTCACTACCGAAGAGAATGACAGACAAATGTATTGAATGAGTATATGTGGCTTTCACTCTGTCCTTAGCGTCTTGGAAATTGTCACACAGTGCATTTATTTCGACAGAAGGAAAATGGGATTGGAGAAGCATTTAGAGGACTCACAATATAAATGATCATTTTACATGTACTGCCTTTTGACTGGGCCCTCTGGTATATAGAATATGGTAATTATACGAATATCAGAGTTTGGATTGAGAATGAGATAAGATACCTAAAACCAGCTTGCTTGCAATTTAGAAGATTTGATTAAAAGCCCCATGGGGAAGATATTCTACTTCCTTATTTCTACAACCAAAATAATAAACTGTCCCACTTACCTTCTTTCTTCCCATGCTAAGCTTTCACTGCCATATAGTTTATATGTATACATTTTCCCCCTTAGGCGCCATCTGAATTAAAATTTTGCCTGGGACTAGTCTATATCTTTCCATTTTGTTCCTCCTAATTTCCTCTACTCATATTTCTCTATCGTCTCACAACGATCCTTAATCTCCTATTCAGGCAGGGTACACCAGAGTGCACACTGACTTTAGAAGGATGGCTGTGTGTGTACATTATCTGTGTACACTTGGGGTAAACAGCGCATGAGGAATGGTGACAATCACCAGAACACTGCTGAGACACAGAGGTCCCACACTGCAGACCATCAAGACGAGGAACTGGTTGCAGGCATCCTCATTTAACTGACTGACGTGTTGAGTACCCCAGGCCCAGCCTCAGAATTGCAGAAGCCCGTGGAGAAGATGGTAACAGATTATTTGGCAGGGCCAAATCCTTATTCTCTACTCATTCTCATCTCTTTATCCTATTCTCTTCCTCGTGTCTTCCTCGGACTGGATAGCATACTTCCCAAGCAGGAACCAGTGCCCAGAAACAGAAACAGATGAAAAGGTCAAGACTTACCCACTGAGGGAGCTGGAATGGCATCAGTGGCTCTCAGTCCATCAGGATCACAAACTGCATTGAAAATAAGATTCCTGGGCCCCACCTCTGAAGGTTCTGACTCATTAGGTCTTGGGTGGGGCTCAGGAATGTCTCTTTGTTAAAGAGTTCCCCCAGACGACTTCTGAAGCACATGCAGGTTTCAGAACTATGTCTTCAGATGTCATGTACTCTACGCAGGATAATTTGCTTTTCTGGGCAGTGATTTCCCAAAAAGAGCAGCAGCGGCGCCCTCAGAGATTTCTCAGAAAGAGCAAATCCATGGGGCTTCCTGGGAGACTTAGGCCGGAAGCAGGAGGTAGGAGAGGGAAACAAGGTAATCGAGGTATCTGGTGAGATGCCGGCTTGAGGAGACACTGAGCCCCCTGGGGAACTGGAGACAGTGCTGTTCTGTGGGTGATCAGAGGATCGCACCCCCCAGCCCCCACCCAGGAAAGCCAGGAGTGGCATTATCCCCCTGTCCTTTCTGCTCAGAGGTCTCACCTTGTAGGTTTCTGATAACAGTATCAGCTAAAGCTCCGAGTAGGCGATTGTGGAGGACTCTGTGTTATCTCCATTGAAGACTTCCCACCAACCGGCTTATGAAACCCTCTCCATCTCAGGAAACCCCCTCTAGGTGTCTCTGCCGCATCCACCTAAAACAGACCTTTCCCTGGATTGCTTCTTCATCCCATTCTTTACCCCCACTTCCCAGAAAGCAAGATCACAGGAACACAGGCAGACCCAGGACGTAGGTCCGTGGCTTCTCTCCCGATCGTCCTGTCCCCACTCCAACCCTGCCTTAGCTGTATTCCTCAGTGTCTCTCTCAGACAGAGAGATAGAGCGTGGGTACCAGGGAATCCACTCCTCACAGCGCTGGCCCAGGTTCTAAAGAGGCCTCAGAATACAGGCGCAGTTCCCAGTCACAGGGACCCCGACATCCGCAGAACAGAAAGATGGCAAGACCCACTGTACCTGCCAAGAGTCAGCCTTGAACTTACTACTTCCTCTTTCTAAAACCTGGTCCTTTTACTGCCACAAGCCCTATGCTGCCAGATAAGAGACGCCCGCTTCAGAGACTGGCTGTGTCCAGTTTTCTCCACTCTCTGTTACAGTCAAGAGAGTTGGCACTTGACCTCTCTTGGGGTCTTTGTACAGTCTACTGAATAAGGGTCTCCAAACTTCATACTTCTGGGACTCTGGAAGTTGTTTTTTAATCAAAATTTGGGTTCCTGCACACTCCTGCCCTCTACTGGACAGATAGATCTGGCAATAACCTGTGCTTCGGTGTGGACACCTTTAACTCTGCCCTGCAGGCACCAGGGCAAGCCTCACAGCCTGGCACGGATGGAGTAGGCAAGAAGAGCCAGCTTTTCCAGGGCCCTAGTAACCTCAAGAGAGCTAAATGTGGGAGGCCACAGGATGACTGGGAGACTCTCGGGCTTCAATCAGATCTGTTTAATACCCATCTCCAACCCACAACTCACTGTGGGACTTGAGCAAGTACATTCATCTCTCCAAGTCTTCGTGTCTTAGACTCACCTCGCGTGCGATCTCCTGTGTCACAGGCTCAGCCCCGTGGCTGGTACATTGAGCAGGGGCTCAAACAATGACATCCGTGGACCTCTCCTCCTCCCAGACGCCGTCTCTGATCTTTTCCTCTTGCTCCCACAGGCCTCAACACCTCCCAAGCACAGAGTGTCCCTGTCATCAACAGCGTGGCCGGCAGCCTGGCAGCCCTGCAGCCCGTCCAGTTCTCCCAGCAGCTGCACAGTTCTCACCAGCAGCCCCTCATGCAGCAGAGCCCAGGCAGCCACATGGCCCAGCAGCCCTTCATGGCTGCTGTGACTCAGCTGCAGAACTCACACAGTAAGGACACGGGCATGTAGTGGGGAGGGAGCACTAAGGACCCTCGGTGGCCAACCACTTTCCCTCTCTGGGTCCGAACTTTCTCGGAAGTTTATCGGTCTGCACTTTCTCGGAAGTAACTTTCTCCCGCCTATGATCCACCAACCAAGACTGTTGGTCAAGGATAACTCTTGTGTGTTGCTGTACTTTTTCTAGTCCTCTTGTCTACCCCTGAGATCACTACGGAAAGATTTGGAGAAGTGGGTGTAGGCCTGCAGGTGAAGGGGAGTTGGAGATAGACGGCAGGTGGAACACTCAGCCCAATTTCCCATTCTAACACCTCTGGAAAGGACAGCGCCCTTAAACCACCGGCACCTTTTCCCAGTGAACCTCAGCTTAGCCTTTGCAATCCAAACTTCTAAGCAGCCATTATGAAATGATCAGAGCTGGCATCTAACTTGCATCCTGTTTGCCTTCCCTAAGATAGAAGAAGAATCTTCTAGAGTCCCATGTTTTCCAATGTATACACCCCAAACACCTCTAATCAAGAACCGTGAACACAAGCGAAAAATACCAGGGGCATGCCATCCTGGGCATTAGAGTCTCTTCCTCCCCACTACCCCTGCATGCCTGCACGCAGACTGTTTCTCGTATTTGATTTCTATACCTACCCTAAGCCTCCTCTCAACCACTTATTTCCCATCCAGTCCCAGCCTCGGTTTCTCTGCCCTCCATCCTGTGTCCCAGGCTTCCAGTCCTCTGGCCAGGTCTGGCTGCAGCCCGTGACCCAGGAGTTTGGGGTGAATCATGGCTTCTCTGCTTCAGAAACCCCAAGGAAGTGTTCAGTATAAAGCACTAGTCTTAGATCAGACAGACTTGGATTTAAATCCTGCCTGTGATACTTACCAGCCATGTAACCTAATGCAAGTTACTTAGCCACTCTGAGCCCAATCTCTTCATCCATAAAAATGGAAATAGTGTGCATTTAGGGTCATTATGAAGAAGAAATAAACATCGGGCTGAAATGCCTTTGGAAAGCATAAAGAATTATAAAGACTATTTATAAAGGGACTCCTAGAAGGCAAGGATGGTGAAAGAGATTTGTGTTTCTTCCCTAGCTGCATCGGCTAAGCTGTGGGTTTGAAAGAGAATAGCCAAGTCCAGCCTTCTATCTTCAGGGCTCAATCCCCCCTCCGGGCCTGTGGAGCTGGTTTCTGAGCACCATCTCACATTCCAATCACATTTTAGTGGCTTCTAAAAATCTGCCACAGCCTGTAGCAGAGTCTGAGACCACATGTGCCCCACTTCCCATCCTCCCAGAGCCTGGCAATGTGCTCCCCATTTGCCCCTATCCCTTCCCCTGGCCAGGCTTCCTCAGTGGTCAGGCCTGGGTGGGACAGTCAGAGAGTGGTCACCAGGGACCTGTAGGCTGCTGAGGCCCAGCAGGCCTGGCCACCCATGAAGAGAGAGCCCATGGTGCCCTGGACCAGGAAATAACCTGCCTCCCTGCATGGGAAGGGCAAGCTGAGGCACTGGCCAGTGATCTTTACCCCTGTTCTGTACTAGAGGCCTCTCTGGTAGGCCCCATGTTCTGAGAACAGGCTGGTCTCTCCCTCACAGCCAAGAGTCCACATGCTTTCAGGAGTTGGTCATGTGACTTAAAATTTACATGAATCTTATAGATCACTAATATGAAAAAATCCTCACTTAAATCCACCAACCCTTTTATCTGCCTGGGGAAATAGGAGCTGTGGTGTGGGATGGGGGCTCTGGAGCTGGGTATGTGCCTGGGTATGCACCTTGATTCTGTCTTCGCTCTCTCTCCAGTGTATGCACACAAGCAGGAACCCCCCCAGTATTCCCACACCTCCCGGTTTCCATCTGCAATGGTGGTCACAGATACCAGCAGCATCAGCACGCTCACCAACATGTCTTCAAGTAAACAGGTAACGCCAGCAGGATTTGCGGGGGTTGGGGTGTGGGGAGGATATGACTAAGGCTATTGATGTGCAGAGGGCGTGGCAAGCATGCACTTGGCCAGAAGAAGTTGGGTCCTTCTGAGGCTCCCTGTTACTTGCAAAGGGAATCCTTAAGGTCCCAGGGCAAAAAAAAAAAAAAAAAAGAGAGAGAGAGAAAAGGCCACAGGTTGAAAGGGCTTATTATTGCTTCCCCAGATTCCCCAATAAAAGCACCAAACCGGGACAGAAGTTTGATAGGTCACTGGAGACTGGATGACATAGAGCGCTTAGGTGTTGAAATTGAGTGTTCCCTAATAGAATGATCAATGGTCTATGGAAAAGGTATTTCCAAGGAGGGCTCAGGAGGAGAGATCCCCTGCTGAGGTCCATGCTTTGCAAGAGGGATCCCTGAGGCTCCACGAAGTAGTCAGTGGAGAAAGTGAGTAGGAAGTCAGAGGTCCTGAGGCTGATTCCCCTGGACCCAGGCTAGACCCAGAATGCCATAAGCTCTGGGAATGACCCACTTAGGCCAACCCATGGGGACTCCCCAGTAGACAGCCTGGCTTTTCCAGGGGTATGCATCCACTTGGGGTTTTATCAAGAAATTGAGAATCAACTTCCTGGTGCACTGAAAGTGGGGAATCCAGAGGCTTAGTCACTGTTTCAGTTGATGACTAAGTCCCACCTCCGAATAGAGGTGATAGGATAGTAAAGACGGGTAGCTGATGGCGAGGCTCACTGCTGGACCGCAAGAAGACCCCGAGAGTTAGAAAACAGGACAAGATGTCTGAACATAGGTGAAGATTCCAGAGTAACACAATGATATCTTTTAGTTGCTGGTGTCTGCAGTGTGAGAACTGTTTGGCCTCTATTGATTACTAGATAAGTAGGTGACAACCTTGAACTTCATGTCAAAGGCTCTCAGCAGAATTTGGTCTTGTTGATGATCTTTTTTTCATCAAAGCCCTGCAAATCACACTTCATCCACGGCCCTGGGCTTCCCGGCAGGTTCCTTCATGGGATCAGGGTTCTCTGTTCTTTCCTTTGCCCCAAACTCCTCCCAGCCCTAGAGCGTAGTGGAGCAGGTGGATTCTATTCCTCGTTCTGCCATTTGGTTGGTGACGTTGACCTCCCTGAGCCTTTATTTCTTCATCTTTAAAGTGGGAGTCGTAACATCTGCTTGTTCTAAGGATTCAGCAACGTGGTGTAGATTAAATACCTGGTGTCTTGGGCACTGAAACATACACATGGCCAGGGCAGCTGGGCTCTGGAGCCGGGGGTAGAGGGAGAGGTGTGTGGGACCTGCTTTGCTACTCTTCTCTCACCCAATAGAAGATGAAAGGACAAGCCCTCGCTACCCTGCCCTTCGACTCCCGTGCGAGTTCCCACTCTTTGTAGTGAGCAGGGAAAACATTTATCTGTGCTCACAAATCTCAATCAGGGGGGCAGCCAGGCGCAGCAGCCCTCCTTGGGAATACCTTCCCCTTTGAAAGGTTTATCAATCCATCTGCCGCTTGGTCAGCCCCAGACAGGACCGTGATTAATTATTCCTGTCTTTCCCAAGTTGACTTTGATGCTTGCTTGTTGAAACAAGTCCTCTGAATTCAGGAAATGGTCTCTTAATCAAAATACTTTAAGATGCTCCCTGAGACGCTGCACCAGCCCCCCCCACTGGCTTCTCCTCGCCATTGGACAGAGTGGCCAGCAGACCCTGGAGCTGCGTGTGTGGCCTCCCAGAATGGCGTTGTCTCCGTGTCCCCAGATGTTGCAGAAGTCTGGCAGTAGACTCATTTCTGTGATGATGAGGACGATTATTACACTCAGTAAGGATGAAAAACACTCACGTGGCACGTTACACTTTATACTTCTCACGAACATTGTCTCATCATTTCCTTTTTACTGCAACCTCCTAAGTACAAAGAAATAAACTAAAGCCCAGAGATGAAGAGTGACCTGCCCACGGTCACACAGATGATAAACTCTAGAGCTGGACCCTCAGGCTTTGGTCTTTGGCTCCAAATACTTGCCTTCCACTACCCATCTTTAAAATTCGGTGGCAACTGCTGCCACTCTTGTCGTTACTGTGGTGGGGAACAAGAGTAAGAAAGTAAGCTCACTTGCTGTATTCCAGTCAGGAAACATTTTTCCGACAAGGTGAAAGAGAGGGAGAAATGGGAGAGGCAGAGTGAAGTTAAATGAGGGTAAATGTGCTGCCTCCTGACAGCAGAAGCTACCCAAGGCGAAGACAGTTTGTAAAACCTCTGTTCCCAAGGCAAAGGGTCAGCAGTGAGTTCTGAACGAGACCTGATGGCATTTCTGCTCTTTTTTTTTTTTTTTTAAGGTCTTCTATTCCAAAAGGGATTTCAAATTCATTGCTGGTGTGTTCAGATGTATGGCTTATCGCGATGTCTGTTTGTGTCGCTATAAAGACATACCTGAGGCCGTGTAAAAGAGGTTAAAAGGCTCACGGTTCTGCCGTCTGTACAGGAGGCATGAGGCCAGCATCTGCTTCTGCTGAAGGCCTCAGAAGGCTTACAATCACGGCGGAAGGTGCAGGCGGGGCAGGCGTATCACGTGGCGAGAATGGGAGCAGGAGAGAAAGGGGGGACGCCCTGGGCTCTTTTTATTTATTTATTTATTTTTATATTTTGAGACAGGGTCCCGTTCTGTCACCCAGGCTGTAGTGCAGTGGCACAATCACAGCTCCCTGCAGCTTCAACCTCCTGGGCTCCATCAATTCTCCCACCTCAGCCTCCAGAGTAGCTGGGACTACAGGCACACACCATGATGCCCGTCGGATTTTTGCTTTTTTTTTTTTTTTTTTTTTCCCCATGTTGCCCAGGCTGGTCTCAAACCCTGTGCTCAAGTGAACTGCCCACCTTGGCCTCCCAAAGTGCTGGGATTACAGGTGTGAGCCACCATGCCTAGCCCTAGACTCTGTTAAACAGCCAGATCTCACGTGAACTAACTCAAGCATGAACTTACTCGTCACCAAGGGGATGGTGCTAAGCCATTTATGATGCTATGCCCGCAAAGCCCCACTTCCACCATTGGGAATCACATTTCAACATGAGATTTGGAGGGGGCACATATCCAAACCATATCATTCTACCCCTGGCCTCCCAAATCTCATGTCCTTCTCACATTGCAAAATACAATCATCCCTTCCCAATAGTCCCCGAAAGTCTTTTTTTTTTTTTTTTTTTTTTTTTTTTTTGAGACGGAGTTTCACTCTTGTTACCCAGGCTGGAGTGCAATGGCGCGATCTCGGCTCACCACAACCTCCGCCTCCTGGGTTCAGGCAATTCTCCTGCCTCAGCCTCCTGAGTAGCTGGGATTACAGGCACGTGCCACCATGCCCAGCTACTTTTTTGTATTTTTAGTAGAGACGGGGTTTCACCATGTTGACCAGGATGGTCTTGATCTCTTGACCTTGTGATCCACCCACCTCGGCCTCCCAAAGTGAAAGTCTTAACTCATTCCAGCATTAACTCAAAGTCCAAAGTCTCATCTGAGACTCAAGAGCAAGTCCTTCCACTTAGGAGCTTATATGTACACTTACTTCCAAAATACAGGGTGGTACAGGCGTTGGGTAGACATTCCCATCCCAAAAGAAATAAATTGGCCAAAAGAAAGAGATAACGCTCCATCAAGTCTGAAACCCAGCAGGGCAGACATTAAACCTTAAAGCTCTAAAATAATCCTTGATTCCATGTCTCACATCCTGGACACATTGGCATGCCAGGTGGGCTCCCATGGCCTTGGACAGCTCTGCCCCTGTGGCTTCTCCATGCTGAGGTTTCAGGCTGCTAGTGGCTTTACCGTTCTGAGGTCTAGAGGGTGGCAAGCCCATTCCCACAGCTCCATTAGGCAGTATGCTGGTGGGGACTCTGTGTGGGGGCTCCAGTCCCATGATTCCCCTCTGCACTGCCCTAGTGGAGGGAGGTTCTGTGTGGGGGCTCTGCCCCTTCAAGAGGCTTCTGCCTGGACACCCGGGCTTTCTGACACATCCTCTGAAATCTAGGTGGAAGCTGCCAAGCCTTCTTCACTCCTGAATTCTGTGCAAGGCTTATAGACTGCACCCTCTAGAGCGGTGGACTAAGCTGTACCTGGGACCCTTTGAGCCAGGACTGAAGCTAGAGCAGTGGGGATGCAGGGAGCAGGGTCCCAAGGCTGTGCGGGGCAGCAGGGCCTTTGGGCTGGCCTCCAAAACCATATTTTCTTCCTAGGCCTCTGGGTCTGTAATGGGAGGGGCTGCCTAGAAGATTTCTGAAATGCTTCCATGCCCTTTTTCCATTGTCTTGGCTAGCAGCACATGGCTCTCTTTAGTCAAGCTAATCTCTCTAGCAAGTTGTTGCTCCATAGGCCACTTGAATTCCTTCTCTACCACAGGATTAGGCTGCAAATTTTCCAAAATTTTATGCTCTGCTTCCCTTTTAAACATAAATTCCAGCATTCCAAATATAAATCATTCCTTTGCTTCCATAGCTGACCATGGGTTGTTAGAAGCAGCCAGGCCACTTCTTGAATGTTTTACTGCTTGGAAATGTCTTCCACTAGATACCCTAGGCCAGGCGTCCCCAAACTACGGCCCGCGGGCCGCATGCGGCCCCCTGAGGCCATTTATCCGGCCCCCCGCCGCACTTCAGGAAGGGGCACCTCTTTCATTGGTGGTCAGTGAGAGGAGCACAGTATGTGGCGGCCCTCCGACGGTCTGAGGGACAGTGAACTGGCCCCCTGTGGAAAAAGTTTGGGGATGCCTGCCCTAGGCTGTGATTCTTAAGTTCAAACTTCCACAGATCCCTAGAATATGGACACAATGCAGCCAAGTTCTTTGCCTGGGCGTAAGGAGGGTGAACTTTGCTCTAGTTCCCAATAAGTTCCTCATTTCCATCCGAGACTTCATCAGCCTGGCCTTCACTCCCCATATTTCTATCAGGGTTTTGGTCAAAATCACTTAGCAGGTCTCTAAGAAATTCCAGACTTTC